AAATCCTTAATTTAAGTAATAATTACTTTACTTTGATGTTCATGTTTTATCTATTAAGTTTCTTTATTCAGTTCTTCGGTACATTTTTACTGTAGTTTTCTGGTCAGAGATTACACAGCAGCAATCATTTCACTGCCTCAATATCTATCAGCGAGTGCACGAGGTATGAATACACACATAATATACAGACAGCACACGCTCATACACACTCAGCTGATCTATTCCCTCTGTGAGTTTGCTGCTCAGGAAGCTGCTGCTTGTTCATCGTACTGTTCATATTTCTGTGAATACCACAGATGGTGTTACAGCTAAATGTTCTGCTGTTAGCAGAAACAAACAAAGGAGAACAACGCCGCCGGCCTCACCTGCGAGCGCTGCCAGCCTCACCTGCGAGCGCTGCCAGCACTGCTGCAGAGGTTTGGGGCGGTCAGCTGAAAATCCAAAGTGCAATCAAGTCCTCAATCAAACATTGTATAGACATATAAAAGTAATATACGCGTGTTGAATGATTACTGTGATATAGCTGAGAGGCAGAGCGAGCTCTGTCTCAGCTCGGACTCTGGTCTCCGGCCTCGCCGGTTCCTCACACACGGCGCCGCCTCAAAGAACACTGGCGAGTTTAAGCACAGGAGGGGACGGACGTCTCCATATAGGCCTGCGGTTCCTGGCCTCCATACGCTGCTCGACTACAGGAACGCAGCTTTTATTAGCACCAGCCCCAAACAGAGGTCAGAGGTCACCAACAGGTACTGCAGTCTCTGTCATGGCGGCCGTTCCTGGAAACACTCAGTACAGAACAAACAGCTGCAGTAATGTGAACATTAACCGCGACAGAGTGACTGCAGCTGTGATAACTCAGTCAGACGAACAGGCTCCGCCCCTCAGCCTGCTACCATATATATTTATACTGTCAAAGAACAGTAATAATAATGATAATCCTCCTGATAAACAGCAGCAGTCTCTGTAACCAGCCTGCAGACTGAGGGAAACATCCTGTGACAGGACACAGCATCCACACTAAGGTTCAGAGGTCGCTGTCCCGAATTCAATAAATGTGGAGCAATGAAACAAACCAGCAGAGGCTCAGAAGAGTGCAATCAAACAATGAGTTTATTAAAACACACACAGGAGAAGAAGTATGCAGCATCCACGCTAAAGTTCAGAGGTCGCTCAGCAGGATGACGTATAAGGTGTCTGAAACGTGACAATGTGACGAATATGACCTTTGAATAAAGAAGGAAAACACTTTTAATTTTTTTTCCACGTTAATATATATTTTTAAATGAATTAAAAAATGTAATTATTCTGTGATTACAAAGTTAAAGTTGTCTGTTTAATCTGGTTCCATGTTGTGTTGCTGCCACCTAGTGGTGGACTTCAGAGTTGTGCTTGTGCTGCCAGTCTGAGGACTCATGAAACAAGCTTGTTTTCATGGATGAGAGGAAAATATGGACGATATGGACTGCAACTGCTTATGAACGTGTGGTAGAAAGGTGCAGGCGGCATGTTTGTGTATTTTACTTTGTGTTACGTTTTATTTGGGCTGTAATTTTATTTTGCTGACAGAATATTTGTGTTTCCAGTTATTTCACTGTAGTTTGCCGGTGAATGGAAGATTAAAATACTGGTTAAATATGGGTTGGAGGATTATTCTACTCCAAACATCAAAAAGAATAACCTGCAGGAGCAGTTTCAGAAATCCAAGCTGCTAGCTTTGCTGTGTAGAACAAACCTGCTGGAGACAAACAGCAGTCTGACTTTACTGATCATTGTGAGCAACACGCAGGTTCACAGAGGGAGGTTTGTGCTGAAGCAGCAGGATCAGCTCGCCGTCTTCAACGCGCTCTGCTTCCTTGTTTGATGTCTGAGCTCCTGACATGTGTAATGAGCAGCTTTGTTCAGACCTGTGCAGGTTTGTGTGCGTCAGCGTCACAAGCAGGTATCACGCTGGGGTTCAGACTGTTTCCAAACATCGCTCAGCACACTCCCACCTCCCAGGTGTCGCCACTTCAGCACAGTAGAGCGTGCTTGTGTAAGTGAGGCAGTGCTCAGGTGGCGTCCGTTTGGGAGTTCCTCTGCGATCATGTCTGAGCTGTGCGCTGGAATCAGGGAAACCCGAATCCTGCACCGGTTACCCGAGCTGATCACGTAACCCTGTGTGTGTCCTCCTGTGCAGACACAACAGGAAGTGTGTCGCACACACACAGACACAACAGGAAGTGTGTCGCACACACAGACACAACAGGAAGTGTGTC